CTCTCAGCTCTCCCTGGAGCCTTCTCTTCTCCAGGGGAACCCCCCCAGCTCTCCCAGCTTTTCCCCGTAGGAAAGGGATGTTTTCCATCATGTCCGTGGCTCCAAATTGATTGGAATAAACCAGGGAACCACCAGAGGAGGAAACACGTTTTTCCCCGAGGGCTCCAAGTGGATACAAACAGTTCAAAACTGAGACTCCCCAACTGTGTCACCTTTAAAGTGCCTTAAAGGCCAAGGTCTGATGTCTCATAAAGAGGATTTCCTATTTTTCCATGAAGGAAAACATCCCAGACCATGGAGTGTGAGGGACTATCATTAATAGCATCTTGGAGAGCTTAAAAGTATGTTAAAAAAAAAAAAAAGTAAAGAAATATTTAGCAGTGGAATTGTCAAAATGGGGGTTAAACCCACAGCTGTCTTTTCCCTTAATTCATGGAATTGTTCCTCCTGGGAGCTGCTATTTTGGGCTGCTGTTGTGCTCCTGAGCCTGGTGAAATTAAAGGATGAAGATTAATTTCCCCCAGGAAATAAAAGCCGGGAGATGGGTTTAACTAAATGAACCATAATGTTATTTTTTTTATTAATGTTTCACCTTTCATCTCAATCCGGGCGAATTAAAAGAGAGGGATCCCAAATTCCATACCTGGAATTAACTCCTGCCAAGGGGGAGATGTTGGGTTTGGGTGGGACTTTGAGGAATGGGGGTTTTTGAAGGGGGTTAATTGATGCCCCTGTGTGGAGCTGGAGGCCAAAAGGGGGCTGAAAAATGGGGAATTTAATGAGGAATTTGGAGGTTTTGGTGACAGGGAAAAGAGGAGCAGGGTGGGATGGAGTGGGAGAGGGAAACTGGATGAGGGGATCAGGTATTAATTAACACTCAGGATTAGCAGAGCCACAAAAAACAAATTGAAAAAAAAGCCTAAAACACCGAATTTAACATGGAAAATGTTTCAACTCGTGAGGGAAGTGGGAATTGTGCCAGAGGAGTTGAAGTCGTGCCCTGAATCCCGGGATCAGGGAAGCCCTGGGAGAACAGGCTGGTGTCTCTGTGTCCTGGGAGGTGTTTGGGGCAGCTCCTGGTGTGCTGGGCAAGGTCAAAGGAATTAGTAACTGCCAGGAATTCCTGCTGGGATCACCAGGCAGGGATCAGCTCTGCCGGCAGGGAAGGGAGCAGGAGGAAAAGCTGGGAGCACATGGAGAGGCTTGGGAGGAAAGTTTCAGCAGGGATGAGCCCACGGGAGGCTGTGGTGTGTGGAGAGGGTGTTTTCCCAGTGATTCCTGGGGCTCCCTCACCTTGGGAACAGCGGGATAGGCTTTGGAGCCCTTCAGGTCCTTCCTGGAATTCCTGAGCAGGGGCAGGAGTTGGACTGGACGAGCCATGAGGGTCCTTCCCAGCTCAGGATAGTCCATGATTCCGGGATGAACTCGGCTCTGTGGCTGAGATCAGCATCCCCAGAGGTGTGATGGTGATGGGAACGCTGGAATCTCTTCCCACACGGGGATGGAAATCTGGGAATGCTGCCCCAAATCCAGCTCCTGCCTCTGGCTGAGCAGCAGAGCCCGGCGAGGTCTGGGCTCATCCCTGAGCTCAGGGATTCCCTGATCCTGGCAGAGCTGGGATCTGCCTGCTTGGAATGATGGATTCCTCCCTCGCTCCAGAGGCTGGCAGCTGGAATTGGTGCCTTTGAGGGAAGTGGGAGCTGCAATCATCCCAAATTTAGCCTCCTAATTGCCCTGTGGATTCATTTGCCATCCCCGCCAGCAAACCAAGTTCAGCCCAGGCTTTGTGCTTGGGTTTCCAGGATTTTGCTTCTCCTCTAAATCAGGGTGTTGACGTGGATTGGGGATTTGGGGCGGGAATCACTCCCAGCTTCCCTAATCCCACCCTGCCAGGGCACAAGGGATGCAA